GTGGAAGAATCTAAACGTATATTAGGCTTCGGAGGATATTAGCGATAGCTTTATTTTAGACGGCGGTGTGCTATCTATGGGGGGGTGTGGGGCACTAAAGGGCCTAGGTTTTCCCAGACCTACACCGGTTTGCTCTTGGGGCTGGATTTTCTTACTGTTTACTTTTTAACCAACAACCAACTACTGTAATACCAATTTGTTTACTATTTTTTTCTGGCCAATTTTGGCCTCATTTTCGCAGCCAGTGACTTTCCTAGGTCACCAGCCCAACATAACATAACACACCCCCTCCTCAAGCATCACGGACCTCGTTGACCCTAAACCCACACACTTCGTCTCCTTCTGCTCCGAACCCCCAGGACTATCCATTTCAATCCTCCTTTCCCCATCCCCCGCACTTGAAACGTCATAGTCCCTAGCTTTAGCAAATAACGACCCTTGACTGTGAGCCCCCCTCCCATCGCTAGCCGGAGAAAGGCTCCGCGCGTCGCCAAACCAGAGACTCGTCAGTTCATACCACTGGATCTCCCCAAACGGCGGACGATGATGTACTCTATCCCTCCTTCATAAAGCCATGCACGACCAGGAAGGCACAAAGCTAATGGCTTGCTCGACACCAAACTTGATCCTGACCATCTTCTCCGTGTCCCTGCCGCGAATCCAGAGTAAGGTCCTCCTGAGCAGTCCCTTCTTCTCAGGTCCCTCATCAAACACACCAAAGCCACCATTTGCCTTGAGCGCGGATAAGATGCGGTCTTGTAGGCCATCGACAGCGAGAGGACGGTCAAAGCTGTTGGTTAGCGACAGGTGCGAGTAAATACATGCAGCTTTTGATACCGCTGTATTTTCTCGCCCTGCGAGTCTTTGGAGATTAGGTTGGGAAAGTTGGGGTCACCAAGAAACATCGCGAGTTGGCTGTGAAAGAGTCTTGTTAGCAAACAGGGGGGAAGTGGGTCCGAAATAGGGGTTCAGGGGTTGCTTGGATAGTGGACTCACTTTTTCATCCTCGTCATACTCTGACACATGACACCCTCACCACACTCCCAATAAGTCTGCTTCTCAGTAAAGAATAGCGCCCTCCTCGACAGCGCATGCTCCTGGAGCATCCATCCGCGTTGACTCAGCGGTCCCTTGAGAACATCACAAACCTTCCCATGGCATGTGATGTTACACGGCAAATGCCGACCACCAACCATCAATAACCATGACTAACAACAACGCCAAATATCACCTTAAGGAGGGGAAGCTGCACGTTGTGAGCCTCTCGTCAAGAGTGAGGCAGACAATCAGAGGCAAGGCGGTTATCAAAGGAAGCCCACTGGCCCAGAAGGATATTGGAGGACTTGGCGATGGCCTGAGGCCAACAAAGGCACGGGCCACGCGAGGGAAGATAAAATACGCGTTCAGGATCATCAAGACTGTATTTCCTTCTTCACTTTCAGTATCACGCTCTTCGAGGCCATTGAAGATTATTAGCCTGAATTGAACCATGAGTTCCAAGCCCTGATACCACAGCCCTTGTCACATGTGAGCCGCTCCAAAAATTAGGGGCTGCTCAAATGGTTAAAGGATACAAAAATTTTTGCAAGAGGCAACGAGAAAACTTGGTCCTGATGATCGTAAGAATATCTTGGACAGGATCCTAAGGAAGCAAGAACGTGATAGAACTACCACAACCCCCTCGTCCAGTGCTAACAGTCATGTCACTGTTATGAACAAGTCCGGACTACAACAAGATCTTCCTAAAAAGGTAGCTGCAGATCATCGGTCGAGCGGGAACAACAATAGTAAGTATTCTTTCTACGGCTATACTGTTCAGTCGAACGCTAATGAACAGAACAAAAAGGAAGGGTGATAGAAAGACAAGATGGCTCTATCCTGCCTGAGAGTGAACCTACATCTTTCGGTGCCTTTAGGAAATTACGACTCCACTAACCGCAGGATTCGCCCATTGTTTAGCCAGTTCCGAGGGCTTATTGTACGATGCTAGGCTACAGTCGAACGCACCAACAAAGCGTAAAAGGGTGTCTAAAACTTTCAAAGCTTTTAAATAATATAAGGTGAAGATGATAAACTACTGGCCCGCTACGATAGGTCGGATCGAGCTTAACGCTCGGGGGGAACTTGAGTATTATTATAGAGTGGGAGCTAATAAAGGTTGAGATTTAGGACCTGGCCGAAGGTTTGATTCCCGACTTAAAGGAACTCGTATATAATACGTATAGTACCGCTAAATAGGAAAGATAGAGCGCTAAGCTAGAGTAATATTGGCTACCAATGTAGAGTGGCTTACGGAATACGTTTTTAGCTAGAGTTAGCTCGCTTTGCTTTTAACCCCTACATAGACTTATATCTAGGTAGTATTACGAATAATATTATAATATTAATTGCAAGACTTATTACTATAGATGTTTAACTAACTTAATAAATAAAGAAAGATATATTAAATATAAATAATTTAGGTAATAAGAAATCAGAAAACAAAACCAGTATATTAAGAAATCCTACATTTGCTTCGAACCTTTACTTTACTATACCGCCTTTCTTCGTCCTAAGTTTACTTTGCGGCCTTTCTCTATACGCTATCTCTATAATTTTTTTTTACCTTCTTCTCGTCTTTATTACTCTCTAATTATAAGTCGGTCTCCTCTCCATTTAATTCTTCGCCCTCTTCTCTACTCTTATTACCCTCGTTTTCGCTCGCTTCGTGTGACGAACCCCTGTACAGAACCTCTGAAAGGGATACGGGTTGAAGGTAACTTCTGACAATTTGGTTCGGTGCAGCTAAACAGTGCACAACAAGATGTCTCGATGTAAACACAAGATGCCGTGAATACAATTGTGAATTGCATACTGCGGAACTATCTGCAAGCTATCTAGTTCCTCCGTATATATAGACCTAATGCCAAGCCTGGATCATTCTGTTTCTCCCCGGATCATGACCGACTCCTAAGGATCGTGAGTGATTCCTGGGAATCGCTCATGATTCCTTCATGTCCCGGATGATCCACCTCTTACTGGTCCATCCTCCTTTCTCTTGATTGGCTGCCGTGCCTCCTCTTCCCTATTGGTTGTTCTTTGCGGGTGTCCACATCATATTCGTGACACGAGGCTTTAGGCCTTCTACAGATAGTTTCTTGTGCTGTTATGGATTAGGCTGGTTCTATGTGAGGATTCTCACGTTATTTTCGCTCTCTTGGTGGTGGTTCGAACAAGGGTCCGCAAGCTATCAGATTACCTTGTGAACTCTAAATTTATATTAAATAAATACTATGGTTAGTATGGAACTCTAAACGACAGCCCTCAGGGCTCAGTTGACCTTCAATTCCAGCAACGATCCTTGTGTCATAGCTCATTGCTGTACTCCGGTTCGTTAGCCTGTTACACTGTTTAACCTGTACGTCCTTTGACGAACCGATATCTTTCGTCCCCTCGCCACAAGGCCTTTTCGATTTACCAGGCGCAATGACACATTAAACGCATCCGTTACTGTTGTACACCGTATCGGCCCTTGTGCTTCTACCTAACTATTGTGGCAGGCCCTGCAGTTTTGTCTTAAGGGAGAATGGCTTATGAACCACCAAACCGACATGTGCTCTCCTCTTCCACAAACTAGCTGCTTCCATTTCGACAGCCGCTTATTGCCAGCCTTGAGAAACCTCACATGAAGCCGGGACCGACGGGAGTCGGTAGTCAAGCCTTGCCTAGGTGCCTGTTCCAAGGTAAATACGTAGCAACCTCGGAACTATGTTTGTTTCATCGTAGCACATGGAGATATAAAGGTAAGTGTGACAGCTGTGTTACCCCCGTATCCCCACAGGTTCGCACCTCGAGGTCTCGCCTCTATCTCGGATTTAAAATACAGCCTCACATCGCCATATGGTTGTCCTCAGGACTTCTGCTTCTATCCACTCTAAGCACAGTCAGGTTTCAACGCAAATATGTCTTTTGGAGCCAAAAAAACCTACCCCCTATCTCGTCACATGTGAAACGGCGGTTGGCCTGCCTGGTCTCACAATCACCATGCCTACAACTTAAAAGTGTGTCGGTAGGTAACCTAAACACAAGTCAATGGATGTTCACCAAGTCGGCACCGAATTCTTTCAGGTTGCACTTTAGGCACCGAAATGGCATAATGTGAGAACCAAAAAGGATATGTCGAGCGATCCGCTGTACAGGCACTTGCAGATAGGTGGAGGTCGTACCCAGAAGTTACCTACGGGCAGTTTTGCTGAGATGCTCAACCTCAACGTCTTGCACGTGCACTCACAATCCACTAGGTTATTCCGCGAAATAATTGACCTGATTCAACCTCTCTATGATAGTGGTTGAAGATCCTGAGTTCTCTTTGAGAATGAAAGCCTTCCAGGTTGCGGAAGCATTGAGACCTTCGCTCTATGGCGACACAATTTGAAGGTTTGGCCGTCTTGGGCAAGCCTGCTTACTAGTAAGAGCCACTTACAGTCCTCGAGTCACTGATGGGGAATTTATAAATTATCACGTATAAGACATGTATCTAAAAGAGCACAAGAGGCATCGCTGGAATAACAACACCCCAATAACCATCGACAATGAGATTAAGATTAACTATTGAGTCATTATCACCTCTAGCATATCTCTTTCCTCCCCAGATTATCTCCTTCCTCCCCAGATTATCTCTTTCTTCTTTTTCTTGTGACTCTTTTCTTACCTCATCTCTTCATTCTTTCACTAATCCCCGTGCCGTCTTAGCCAAAGTTGACACCACCTCAGAACCAACAAAAACCCAAACAAAAAGCTTAGAAAGAGAGCTCATCGTATTCCTGCAGTCTGATCTACAAACTATCAGGTCTTTACATCGGCAGCTCAGCCTTAAAAAAAACGCACACACCAAACCGAGCATCCATCTATCTGTAAGCTGCTGTCTCTCCTTTCCTTCCTTTGGCATCACAAAAGAGCGACGTCCCCCTCTCCCACCGAATTACCCAAAATGAGCGTCCAGTCTACCCACCTCACGTCCATTACTCCTCACTCATCCCCAAGTTCTCCATCAACGCCCTCTTCTCCTGCCTCCAAGCCTTCCTCTCATTCCTCAACTCCTCCAACTTCTGCCTCGCCATGTCCAACAATTTAGCCTTGTTGATAGACCGCCCCTTGACATTGATGTTCGGACCCTCTGTGTCGGTGTCCTCCCCATCCTCATCATACAGCCGCAAAACAAGCTGCAGGTTCTCAAACTGCTCATTCAGCTTAGTCCGGTACTTCTTGCCAATCTGGTTGTGCCACAACCGTCGACTGCTTTCGTATTCCTCCAACGTCTGCGTCTGGCTCGGCGCAGTCAACGGGGAAGCTGCAATCACGCGGCTGCTGGGTTTGAGAGGGATTTGCTGGGTGGTAATCGAGGAGACGTTGCCGGCATCCATGGGGACGATGGTGGCGGTAGAGGCAAAATAATCATCACCGCTCTTTTCACAAGGTGGTGGTGGCGACGAAGCACACGATGAAGCGGACCATGAGACATTTCTTCCTCCGGGACTCGCGGTAAAAGTCGGTGAGTGCAACGGGCTGTGGGTTGAAGCCGACGAGAACGACGAGGCGTCGGTGGTGCGAATGGTGGTGTCACCTGGCTGCAGCTGGTGCTGGAAAGGGAAGAGGCTGCGCTCGCGCTCGCTTATGCTGGTGGTGGCTTTGTCGGTTTCTGCCGTCCACGTGACAGGGGCAACAGGGTTGTGATGGGCAAAATAGCCATTTCCGGACGAGTTGTTTCCAAACTGTCCGGTGCTGGAGGACGAGGTGGTGATGGGACAAGAGGGGTGGCTGGTGACACCAGGCGGTTGGAAGGCGGGGAGCGGTGGTGTTGTGGTGAAGCAGCCTCCAGGATCGTCAGGGACATAATGGAAACCAAAGGGCGCCGTGTGCGGATGCGGGCCCGAAAAACTGGGAATCTGGCATGCTGCTGGTGCGAGACCCCATTCATCAGTGCCGGCTCCCACCGTGGCAAGATTGGAAAAGTACAAGTTGACGTTGGGCGCTGTCTGTCGGATTTCTTGTCAGCCAAACGCTCTCCCCGCATTCATTGGATGGGACACCACCAGGATGGACTCACAGTTGGGCATCTGGTTGAGAGCCCGTGCACCCCCATCATCAGGGCCTGGCCCCTCTCGGGATCAGTACCCCAAACAGCCGTCGGGTTCATGGTCGCCATTCTTCCTCTCCTTGGCTCTTCCTTGAGACGAATGTTCCTGACGTAACGGGCAACTGTCTAGAAACAGCGCGGGCGTCAGAATACAATCCCTCCTCGACCAAAAACGACAGCGTTTGGGTGTGTGTGTGTGTGTGTGTTTGTCTGGTGAGAGGCGTGATGCGGGTTGGGAACCGGCACGCCTTATAAGGAGCAATCACTGCCGGAGACCTGGAGCCCTGTTTGTGTGCCAGTCGCGCTGGCTGGCGGCGGGCATGGGGGCAACCCACGTTGCTTCTGCTGCTTCCCCGGGTCCTTTCATTTTGGGGCACACAAAGACAGCCACAGCCAATCACGGGCTCCGAAATCGCCGGTCTGTCTCTGACAAGTCACTTGTGGGCTGATCCACGTTTGACTGACAGACATGTCTTGAACCCTGCCTTGGCATCTCGACGTGCCACTCGTGCCTGGCATTTTCAAGAAGTGTCTCTTTTCCTTTTTGCTTGTTGGGTCCTGATATGGGTTAGGGTTGACGCAGGGATCGGACGAGAGACCGTCACCGCCACCGGACTCGGTTATGTACTCGGCCTCTGGAAGATCTGGCAGTGAGGTGCCCGAGAGAAATGGGATGTGTAGTCGCCGCCGGGGCCATGAACGCGGGGGCCGATTCCATCCGAGCCAATTGGGGATGCATCTAGTGGCACATCTGCATGGTGCAAAACGAAAACTAGAGCTGCACGACGACGTTGTTGATCGCACGTCTCTGTGAGAAATCGCAGTTTGACATGTCGGTTCATGCACCTTGCCATTAGCGCATCCTGCCCGCCATCAACTGATAAGGTAAGAATCACGTTGACCGCACGTGACAACCTGGAGAGCCACTATAGGTTATCCAAAGAGGGAGAAGTAAGAGAGAATAGCAAAGGCGCGCGTCATCTTTAATTTTCTTATAGTGTCGGTCTGCCCCTTTACTGCTTCTCATTTGAGTCGCAATTCTTTCGAGCATCTTGAAAAGACTTTTCATCATCCATCAACTAGTATCTCTTCTTTCTCTGAACGACTTTAAGACATATGTTCAAGCATCCAAGTATCTGAAAAGGTTTTCCTTGAGGCCCCTAAATCTTCTACTCAAGGATGAGCACTTCTCTCGCCACTGGTCTCTGTCAACCCCAGGCAAACAGCTCTTACACCTTCGTGAAGATCCAAGTAACAAACCAAGCTGTCTTGTAACCTCATGCTCCCATTTGCATAGATCTGACTTGTTTCCCAACACCATTATCTACCGAATCCCACAGGTGGCACCCAGCGAGAAAGCCTCCACCGTTAGTGGAGGTGGTGCAAAAAGTGATGATTGCTGTGAGATTCGAACTCACGCCTCTTTCGAGAGTAGAATACCATTCATTTCTGAGTGGAAGATGTTATCTTGAGTCTACCGCCTTAGACCGCTCGGCCAAACAACCAGTTCGATGGTGATCTGGGCTCGAGCTATGCGTCATGATTGAGATGCGATGGGACGCAGAGGTGCAGGTGCAAGATACTTCATATGAAATGAAGATAGACTTTTGTCATTAAGGGCTGTATATTTTTTGGTACAGTCATATGAACTCAAAGTCATTTAATGATTTGGGGCTAGAAATGCCTTCACTTCACGATGCTTCCAGACATCACACCTCACAACACCAATCACCATGTCATGATTAAGTCAGGTGGTACCATTGAAATCGGATATTCCCCATCAAAAATTGCAAACTAGGGTATAAGTACATCCATGTGCAACAAGCACAGTATCACAATACCGACCGACATCACACCGCGAAGAAAAGAAAAAGATGGTTCTGAAGAAACAAGAAGATAATTACCAAACTACCACCAGGAATGAAACGAATAAACAACCCCGCCCATTTTGTCTCCCATCCGTCTCAAACTATCCACCTCGGACTCCTGGGACTCCTCAACGACCTCAGCGACATCAGACTGGTCCCGCTCTACGAGCCATCCGAGTTTCTCACCTCCGCCGCGCTCAAGCCGTCCCTCTCCACCCTAATCTCCCTCTCAACCATCACACCCCCGTTGTTATTTTCCTGCCCAGCGGCATCTGGCATCCTCAAACCAGCGCCTCCCTTCTCTCCAAACGTAGGTGACAAAGGCGAAAAAGGGCTGTGGTGCTGACTGCTCGGCTTCTCCTCCTCCATGATCAAATCGTCAGGGTGGTCCTTTCTGGTGTGACGGCGGGGGCATTGTTGTTGGTCAGCAGAAACAGCAACGTGGTTCTTGCCTTGGAAGCCGTGGGCGTTGTAGGAGGCTGCGCTGCCACGACGGTCGTGACTGAGGAGTGGACGCTGGGTGGCCATGCTGGAGGTTTGGTTTCTCGATCGGGGGTTGGAGCCCATGCTTGAGCTGCCGGTCATGTCGGTGGTTGTGCCAGTCGGCGAGGCGTATCGTGACGGTGCCGCAGCAAGCCGTTGCGCGACCAACACCCCAAGGGGAAGAACAACAATAACAGACGTCTGCGTCAAAGAGGCCGATTCAAAGTTGGTGAAGGAGGCGAACTCCAATGCTGCGAAGACCACTATTTCTTTTGTCAGTCCCGTCCACCCACCCAAAGACAAACAACCACAAAAGACGTACCGGGCACAAACATCAACACCCCATTACAAATAACCAACACATCCATCGCCTTCAACCCCTTCCACCCCGGCAGCACACTCCTAGTCTCCCACATATGCATCACCAACCTAACATTAAACAAGAAGCAAAACCAGCAAATCCCCCCCGTCATCATCCCCAAATAAACCTGCCTCACCCACACCCCGTCCCTTGGCACCGTCATCCCCAACACCCCCCTAGCCTGAATAACCGCACCCGCAAAGTTGAACCCAACAGTGACCAACCCAACCCCGATACTCACCCCAACGGCAAGCCACTTCCACACATCCCTCCACAAACTCAACATACTCCACGCCTGCACAAACAGCGCGGCATAGATCAGCATCGTGACCGGGACAGACAACAACGTGGCAACAACAGAGATATTGATATCGTTCTGCGAGACGGCCGAGTAATCCCCGAGAAAAAGCGCCGTCAGCGACGCCCAGGAGGACGGGTAAAACAAACTGAGGAGGACCATTCTCGTCGTGTTGAGCGCGAGGGCAAGGATGGAGATAATTGTCGGCCAGCGCTTGAATCGTGGGAGGGGGGTCATGAGGAGGACGACGGCGAGGATGGAGATGCAGGCCCCGATTTGGGAGCCGTAGAGGATCGACAGGGAGGAGGCGTCGGCGTAGATTTCGGAGACTTCCTTTGGGGTGAGGGGGACGGGGGCGAGTTCGCCTGATGGGGGGGCCGGGGCGAGGAGGATGAAGGTTTGGGTTGAGGGGTTGAAGTTTGTTGGTGGAGGCCCCGGGGCGAGGGTGGTGGAGGTTGGGGTAGACATCTTGAAGAGAGTGTCCTTGATCTCCCTGATCTTGGGGGTTGTTGATGTTGCTGAGGCGCACTTGCGTGGGCTTGGCTGGATACCGTGAAGCGATCGTTGATGTCGAGGCGGCACAGCTCTAGACAAAAAAAAGATCAAGAGAGTTGTCGATTTGACTGAAGTCCACGTTGGCTGTGGTGTTTAGTGGAAAAGAAAGAGCTGCTTGAAACCCATGCTGGAGAAGTATTTGAGGACCGAGGAACTGGTGATGGTGAATGGCAAAGTAAATAATGGATGGTGGGTAGGCTGTATGTAAATACTTCTCCTTTTCCATAGGATTGTTGCTTGGTAGTAAACAATCGCAATGGATCTGGTGGAAATGGAGCAGGAGCAAGCCTGGCCACGAGGTTGCTGCGTGGTCATATTTTGGAGCCCATCATGGCTTCTAAGAGGGCGCGGATCGGGCGGGATAATGCTACCAGAGTTTAGGACAATGAAAGTCTGGTGGTGAAAAACAGACCATTGATTTGGGCGCAGTGGTGGCCGCAATGGTGTGTTTGGGGTGTGCTCTTAGGATTGTCGTCTTAGCATTGTTGTTGACCCAGACCCACATTGTGCTTCACCACCGCAAGTCGATTCAATTTAGGACCAGGTGAAGACTGACAAGTCGCTTCAGAGGTTTGATGAAGATGATAAAACTGGAAGTCTCGTAACCGGTCCTCCCTTTTGCTACTGGTCCGGATGATGTGACTTCATTTGGTGCCATGGATTGCCGGTGGTGAGATGAATGGTGACACGCTTTTGTCAGCTCTTCCTCCAGCTCATCAGTCAAAGCCGATTGAAAAAACTTCTTTCATATTTGCAGGCGACTGTCCAGGCAATGATAAAGGGGTAATGTTGGAGCAGTGGTGCTGAGGTGGCTGAGGGGGTTCATGTCGTCGCCCTTCGCAGTGTGATGCCAGGCCCCGACCCGAAGCTATCCCAACTGGGGAAGATAATGGCCAGTGTCTGCACCGCAAAAGTGATGCGACAGAGTAATCTCCCCATTACTTTCACCATGTTTGGTGTCCAACAAAATGACGCCATCTCCGGAGCCGAAGAGGTCGCTATCCGGGCCGGCCCCACAAATCCGATAACGGGGCGAGCTCCCCCACAGTGCCCGATGCTTGCTCTCTGTCACTCTCAACATCGACACAAACAGCTACTGACTGAGAGCCTCATCTCACTCGTTCACATTCGGCCTGTACTCAGCCCACGGGATTGGTTTTCTTTACCTTCTTCCTTCGTGCCGTCCTCATTTCACACCTGGAAGTCTTCTAAAAAATGTCCCTCATAGCCATCGGCCAACTGACATCCACCTCCTCCCTCCCCCACAACCTCACCCAATGCCGCACCCTCATCGCCCGTGCCGCCTCCCTCAACTGCAAAGCCCTCTTCCTCCCCGAAGCCTCCGATTACATTGCCTCCTCCCCCACCGAGTCCCTCTCCCTCTGCCAGCCCACCAACAAATCCGAGTTCGTCACCGGCCTCCGCGCCGAAGCCAAAAAACACAAACTGGCCATCCACGTTGGCATCCACGAGCCAAGTTGGACAGACCCCAAGACCAAGATCCGCAACACGGTGATCTGGATAGATGAGAACGGCCACATTGTTCATACCTATCAGAAGGTGCACTTGTTTGATGTTGACCTGGGGGAGAGCGGAGGGCCGGTGTTGAAGGAGAGTGCAGTGGTTGAGGCGGGGGAGAAGGTCGGGGAGGTGTGGGACGTAGAGGGGGTGGGGAGGGTGGGGAGTGCGATTTGTTTTGATGTTTGTCTTCTCGTTATATGCCGGAGAGTGATCATTTGCTGACAACGTGCAAGATGCGCTTCCCGGAGATGAGTTTGGCGTTGCGACGAAGGGGCGCAGAGATCATCACATATCCTTCTGCTTTTACAGTCCCAACAGGAAAGGCACATTGGGAAGTGCTTTTACGGGCGAGGGCGATAGAGACACAGTCTTATGCCGTTGCTGCTGCGCAGGTCGGGAGACATAATGAGAAGAGGGTTAGTTACGGGCACAGCATGATTGTTGATCCATGGGGCAAGATCGTGGCCGAGATCAAGGGGCGTGAAGGAGAAGACAATCCAGAGCCAGAGATTGCTACTGCTGTGATTGATAGGGAGCTGCTGGCCAAGGTGAGGAGGGAAATGCCGTTGAATCGGAGGATGTGGGTATTTTCCTTGCCTTGTGTCACGGTGGAAGTCGCTGACGCTGTGCAGAGATGTTTATCCAGAGATTTGATATCAACGTCGGTGAATGAGAAGCACAAATGAAGAGTTGATAAGTCGGTGAAACTTCAATAGAGGCTTGGCCCTCCAAACCATCAACGCTTGCTCCATCACAGGGGGCTGTGCCGCATTTGCTCCGGGTGTTTAGCGTGGGTTGACTACCATTGGCGCCAATGAAGCACACCACGACTTCTGTGGCTTCGGCTATGCATGCGCTGGGTGCACTCTGGGAGACATGCATTGTTGGGTTGCACAGAGCCTTGCGAGATCTTTGAAGACGGCCTTGATTCTGTGCGAATGGGTGAGATCGTAGGTGTACAAGAACTGCAAAGTCGATCTGCATAATGAGGCATGCAGCTCAAGTCAAATTGGGCAAAATGCCTGGCAATTCTGGCCGCATTTTGAACATCACCCACCTTCAAGGGAAACCTCTGGTACCACATTGTGAGGCTCTCTCTTGAGCCCCTGGCGCCATCATGCAGGCCGGCTATCCCAAGACCAATACCAAGAGGCAGCCATCTCCAGCTGGACGGGAGCTGTGTTGGTTAAAACAACACCATCCCCAACTTTGGATGCGTCGCGCCATCATGCTTCATTCTAGAAAATACCAAAAAAAATGTCAAGAGTACCAATACGAAATCTTTTCCTCTTCTCTACAGCCCTGCTCATTCGCCCATGTCAAGCGTTTAGCCTGAGCGAATGGCTCTCCAAAGACCCCTACGAGGACGGCGGCACCGTCCAGGAGCAAATCCAATGCTACGCACTCCCCTACGGCGCCATCGGAATGGCCAGCCACATTCTCACCTACTTCACTGCGTATATGCTCTCCCGCGGTAGAAACCCAATTCTCGTCTGGAAACGGCTCAAACATCGACGGTTCAACCTCTCTGTTGCTGCCATTGGGTTTGTCATTACGCTTGTCTTGACATCACTAACCGTGGCGAGATGTCGACGCACATGGCCGTTTATCTTGGTCGCAGTATGGAAGCTGGTGTTGTCGGTCACATTAACGGGCATGACCATCCAGGCGGCATTGGAGACACATGATGAGCCCAAGAAAGAAAAGCAGCCAAAGGTTGTGGAGGAGGAGCAAGGGTACTTTGCGTATGGGGATGGTGGGTACGGCTATGACTATCCCGAATCGACGTATCAGAGGACACCAACGGATGACCGTCCTGGACCGAGGACTTCGGCGGCGGATGTGCATTTGGGGCATTACTACCCTCTCAAAGTGCCGATGGGAACGGGGAGTAGGGTTAGATTGACTCAGCGGGAGGACGATGGTGATGACGACGAATGGCATGGGTATCATTTGCCAGGGCTGAAGGGGAGGTATCATCGGGTGTGGTATTGGGTCCCGTTGTATGTGCTTGGGGTCGTCGTCGGGTTTGTGGGCATCATGAATATCGTGTCGAAGCATATCATGGGGAACCAGCAGTTGAGGATCATTACTGGGGTGTTTGGGGGTGTTGTGCTCCTGATGGTCCTGGTGGCGATTGTCCTGTCATGGCTGATGATGAGCGGAAGTGGAGGATGCGTGGGGATTGTGGGAGTCGGTTGTCTGGCAGCGACAGGAGTTGCTGTGTTCATGTTGAGCGTTCTGTTTGCCTTTTACACTGACTGGGTGTTGGCTGCGCTGGCTGAGGATTTGGTGGGAACGCCATCGCGGGACAATGCTGTGTTTTACTGGGCGTATTTTGCCGCGAAGAGGTTACCAATGGTGTCTTTCTGAGCGGGACCAGGAAAGATAGAAGTGACGTTACCTGATATTAGATGGAAGGAGCGATGCCCAGCTGCTGGGACCCGAACGTGATCGCGTATCCTGGAAACTGGTCCTTCCATCCTCAACCACCTGGGCGCTCGGATTAACTCCATCACAGAAGCAAAACCAGCCTCAGTCATCCATCTCTGCCCGCATCTTCGTTACTCCTACACTGGACCCTTTGCCACAAAAACTGCGACTGAAACCGAAATGGCCACCCAAATCCCGACACTGACGCTCAACGATACAGGCCTCCCAACAAGAAGCACCAAGCGAGACTACTCCGATTCCAAACTCAAACCAGAGCCCCTCCGACTCCCACGCAAAAGTTATGGCGACAGTAGCATCAGCACTCAAAGCTCCTTTACCTCGCCCGCGAAGAGCGTCCACGCCCACGAGACACCCACCCTTGCAACCCGCCGCCCGAATGTGCACCGCGGGATGGAGGGCATGGCCTTCCTGGAACTAACACCCCCGGCTCGAAGCACAGCGCCCGGCCTGGCCAGCCTGGTGTCCAAGTTTGAGATTGCCGACGCAGTAAGCAAAGTCATTGCACAAGAGACTCGCCACGGCCCGTCGCCGTTGAAACCAGCGGCAGCGACTGCCCTGAACACCCAGAAGCAAAACCGAGCACGACCGCGAACCGAGCCTCGACCCATCTTTACCGAGGGCTCGCCTTTCACCAAACCCCCCCGTATTGCCATCCCATTTTCCGAAGCAGAGAGACCAGAAAGGGAAGCAATATCTCCAAGAACACCGACGCCAGCTGCTGGACCCAAGCTTCACGGTTCTGACGGCCTGCCAATGTACCCGCAGTCGAGCTCGCCGATCAAGAAGGTTTCCCGCCTGGAAGCCAGTCCCTTCATAATCCGCCATCAGCAAAAGTCAGGGAACACGGAAGATTAGGTACCTTCCACGCTGTTCCAGCTAAAGCGGCAGCATGATGAACAGAAGCGAGACAGTGGCGTTGTGCCCGAAGAGAGGAAGGGTTGGGACCCCAAGCTTGTTGCCGAGAGACGAAAGATGTTTGAACAAGGAGGTGGTGACCCTTTTACCTTGCCCATCATCACTCGTGCAGCAGTGAGTTCTTCCAAGCCGGTCTTTGTCGAGCACGCCAAAGCTGTTGCAAGCCTCAGAGCGTCGAGGACGAGCGAGATGGATCCCAAGGCAGGCGGCAGTGTCTCGACAGTCAGAGGCAAGCAACAGAGCCAGTCATCCATCGAGGTAGGACGAGAGGTGGAAAATACCGTCAAGAGAAACAGACACAGCGTGGCGGATTTGCGCATGGCCTTTGAGCAAGCTGTGTTGGCTGGGTCGTCAGCCAAGTCGTCCGTGTCAAAGCATCCCAAGAGCGAGTCTGCCAGTCCAAACAAGAAAGCGATTTCAGAACGAATCTACCAAGCCCAGCCAGGTCAGGCAAACAAACGCAAGGACCCGAGCTCCGAAACACCGCCGAGGGCACGCAACAGTGACCACACGGAAGCGCCAGCCAGCGAGCCCATCAACAGAAGACGCACTCGAGCCCTCGCTGAAGCCTTTGAACACGGGGGCAAATTGGGAAGCACCCCATCGAGACCGCTGCTCCAAGCACGAACACTCTCTGTCAAAATCTCCACCGTCAAGCCTCCTCCCAACGAAAGTCCCACCAAGCAGTCAAAGGAAAAGGCGGTGGCCCGCCTCAGTGACAGCGGTGTCGGACGGAGGATACTACCAGGACCACCACCGTCGCCTTTTTTACAACACTGGAGAACCAGACGGGAGACCGCTCCTGTCAAATCCGGACCCAGTCTTCCCATCATGGTCTCCACCACAGTTGCTGTCAGGACACACCGCGACTCGAGCAGCACTACTGCTTCTTCTTCCTCCTTCTCCCGAAGGTCTACGACCCCTTTTCCGGCCAAAGTGGAGGAGGCACTTCGCAAGTCGTCGAGAGGGTATGGAAACTTGTCCCAAGATGGTGCTGGGGAAGGTACTGCTACCAAGGAGTCTCCTGTCAAGGATAGGATCGGCTTGTTTGAACACCTTAGTCGTCCGAGAACGGTGAGCTCGACCTCGGGGTCTCAGAAGAGCAGAGGGTCATCGTCGAACAAGCTGGTGAAGTCTCGCAATTCGGTGAGACGGCCTTCGATGTCTGAGTTGAGACGAGGAGCAAGGGCGCTGAGAGCATTGTCGTTGACGGGACGGAGGGAGAGCAAGCCGGCGGCGGCTGGGATGAAGACCGCTGAGGGTACGACGAAGGTGACCATCACAACAAGACACAGCGTCGGGGTTGTCCAGCAGAGCACCGCCGGCAAGCCTCTGGGCAGCAGAGTCTTGCGCGCGAATACCACCACCACTGCAAAGCCAGACGGGCTGTCTCTCACTCCTAGGCGTGACTCGAGCTTTTTTGTCAAGGGGACCATGTGGAGGGTTCCGCGGACGAATCCTGCGCCGGCGGGGAAACAACAAGAGCCCATCTCTTCCAAGCCAGCACCACAACCTAGCTATGAACCGCCTTCTTCCGCCGAACTCGTCAACAAGACTGCCACCACCAAGCCGACGCTTTTCCACCCCACCAGCGCAAGAGATGGCCGCATCCTTCCCGACAGGAAGAGCTATGGCACCCTCGAGACGAAACACAGTTGGGAGACGAGCACGACTGCCCCCACCATGGCGGTTTCTGATCCATTCTTGGACAAGGCCTTTTTATCCAGGACGAGGGATATAATCCCAGTCACAGGTGATGGCAATTGCTTTCACCACCACCGCGATTCACCGCCTGTTTTGAAGGGTGGTGTTGTTATTCACCAAGCTACTACCACCTCAATCATTAGCGTTAGTCCCACGGCTAGTCATTACTCCCCTGGCAATGTCACGCCCGGCCATGAAACAGCAGAGGTACAGCGTCCTGTAGCTGTTACAAAGAAGCATCTTCAGCAGAGTTTATACCACTCCTCCTTGGGCAAAAAGGGGGGTGAAGCGTGGAGGAATAAAGCTGGCGGTGTGGGCCCGGTCTTGAGTCCAGATCTGGTGCACGCGGTGAAGCAGGGAGGGGGGAGCAGACGTTCCAGTTTGAGCTGGGGGAAGAGGGCGGCGGCGGCGGCATTGGGGATCGGGAGACGGTTGAGGGAACGGAGGGCTAGTTCGAGTGCTGCTAGGCATCAGGCGGGAGGGGGGAATTTAATCAGTCCGAGAAAGATGATGCAGGAGAGGAGTAGTCGGGAGGGGAGTGTGGTTGGGGGAGGAGGAGGAGGGAATAGGGAAGAGGATTGGGATGTTGTTGTTGCTACGCCGAATTGTAGGT